AATTTGAAATATGAACACTCCCGAACCACTTAATGTCAACTGAGCACTGGGTGCAGCTATTGATGCTGTACTGGCAAATTTATACATACCAGGTTGCAGTGTAAGACCACCTAGATCAACACCAGTCTAAATGTTAAATCCACCAAGTGTTAAATCAAATGACAACCAATTAGCTCCACTTCTTAGTAATTACGAATCAGAAATGAATTTTAAAGATACTGATATGGGGGATGATATTTTCCCTATTCTTCAGCCAATTGTAATCAAACCAGCTCTATCAACTCTTAATCTTAATTCTACTGATATTACACAGACAAGAAGAAATTCACGGAAATGTACAAAACCAAAACAATATCATGTGTATGACATGTCAACTCATACCTCTAGCCCATCGGCATTATTTCCAAAACGAACTGCTTTTTTGTTAACAGTTGCTTCATTATCTAATCGTTCGTCTTCTGATAATTCATTAAATCGTAAGCCGCGATCTCCACCAACAAAGAAAAATCAGAAAAGACAAAAAATTGACGAATCATCTAAGTAGTGGCCGAAATCATGTACAGTTTTAATGAAAAAGTAACAATTCCTTGGCCTAAACATTCTATTAAAAATGCTGTTTTCAACGGCACAAAATATTCTGTTATTAATACATGTTTATTAGACTCAGCATTATTTGTTCTATATTATGCCTATTATTCGTGCCAATTTTGAACCTTATTTGATCGTGAAACACAACCTATCTACTCTAATTTACCTAAGACATTTCAGATTGTGGAAAGCGAAGGGTGGGATACAGCTCGTTTATATTGGCTTAACATTCATAAAAGATTCAATTCCTCAACAGCAAACGGCAACAATCAGTATAATTTATTTGGTACTGTTGATGAAGATGTTTTTAGATATGTTCGAACAATGCAAGAGTATGAAAATCCAGGTCAATGTTTGTATGAAGATTGTCCAAGGCAGACAAGAACATTAAATATTAATGATATTGCGCTAAAAAGTAGCGTTCCTTTCTTCAGAAGTCTAAGATCGGACGTAGGTCAGACGCGGAGAAATTCCATTTCAAACCGCATTAACTACCCGCAAACTGAGCTTCACGAAGATTTCTTAATTTTTATTTCTTACAATCGGCTGTAATGACTCACGACCACAAATAAATGTTTTGCTCAAATCGGCATTTGATTCGTCTTCAATATCGGCTAGATAGAATGGCTTCGGCTTTCGTATGTGCCTTTAGAGATCGCGATTTTTTCAACTTCTTTGTTTGTAGACCGAGCAGGCACAAGAGAGTATCAGTCTTGTCCACACTACACCCGTCGTCATCGACCAAACAGATCGCCTTCTCGGCCATTCGAATTGTCAGGGTGGATATGGTGAAGCAGTCGAGAAAGAACAGACCGATTGCATATCAAAACAGCAACTACTAAGTTCACGAGACAAGTTCACTCTTTTATACATTAGAAGAGAGGAGGAGAGAATATGCGAGAGAAAAGAGAAGCACCCACATATCGACATATTTCCGGTCTGATGGTTTACCGTCACGCTTCCCTGCTTCTACCTGTCATGCTCCTCTGCCTCTATTTGTACCGGTAGTTTTTTCTCATTCTGCGTGACCGCTTGACCACTACCCTCTCCTATACAATACGCGCGTAATAAGATAGAAGATGCACTTGGAGATGTGAACTAGGCGAATCAGCATCATTGCCGTGGGTAGCGACACCGCTACTCTCCCAGTTTTACGTAAGATATGGTGGTCGCGGTATTAACTCGTGCAACGAACGGGAAGAATACGTGTATTAGACGATAATGCGAAACAGAATAAAAGAAGTACAAATAGACCTTCAATATATACTATTTTGCCTGCCAAAGACAGAAGATTCAGGAGACATATCAGTTCATTAAACGACGCGCGACAAAGAACAATATTATGGGCAGCACACACCTCACCTCGATTTTGTCGATGTGTAAATGGGTTATCACAATACCTTACAGAAAGACGGCAGCAGTTCCTCAAAATCCATTAAGAACCAATTCCAAACTCCTCTATAGACTATCCTCGATCTACCCAACCATAATTTCATTTCTATATGTCATTCAGACATTTAAAAAAATATTTCTGAAGAATTTTTGTTTTTGACCTCAGTAGTTATCATCAGTATTTTGCATTTTTGGTCACGTCCCTGGGGTTCATAAAATAAAAGCTATAGTGCATCTTGTAGGGAATTGTTTTCTCTACAAGATAGTTCCGATGTTGTTCCGTGTGAGAGAGAGGTTTGGAAACAAACGAATGATATACAAAAGGGTACAATGGATGCAACAATTTTTTTTCTTCTGGTGCTCAATTTGAAGGCCGTCTTCATGCCGACTCGCTTCATGCTGATGGTATTCGTCAGCATCTTATATATGTCGGCGATGTAGCTCGATGATGATCAACAGCTGCCACTTCACTGCCATTAATTGAGCAGTCTATTTTCTGATTACTTGTTAATTTCAGATTGAAAGACACGGATATATGGCGGAATGTTTTTCTTGCCATACGGCTTTACAGGGTTCCTGGAATATGTCTGGAAATTCGAAAACAGGAAGATACCTTGGTATTACTAATGGATATTTTTTGTACAACGAGCCTCCGAATTGGGTGTACTGTTACTGCAAATCTTGTTGGCAAACAAGTATTTGTAGTCTGCCTTTTGTCCCTAGAACGACCGGCATTTTGCAAGAACAAAATTATACCAACAAGTTGATGTACAAAAATCTTTACCAATTTTTCCCCAAACGTATAAAAATTTACTTTTAAGTTTAGCGGATTCATCACAAGTTTTTAATAGATCAAAATCCCATATTTGATAATCTAATTTCATTTCATTCCATTTTTTCCTAACACCTTTAACAACAATATGATTATTATCATCAATTTCATTACATTGATATAAACTGGCTTCATTTGTTATTTCAAATTTTATACCGGCAAATGCTCTCAATTGATGACCTGTACTGCAGCAGTGTTTATTATTTTCATCACCTTAGAATGAAAAATAAAAAAAAGGTATCCAATGATTTACATTTGAAAACTGAAGCGTAACAAAAACAATAACAACACACTTATAGAATCCGTGCAGGTGGTCACGCTTATAGAGATTGAGTTTCATTAAACAAGCGCCGTAAGAATGACCTTTTCTCATCATAGAGAGGGACCTTAGTCTACTGTCTTGCGCAGTTAGAAGTGTCAGCCGATTCTGCTTCAGCAATGCCGCTGATGAGTTAGAATTTAAACCGAAAATACATTTTCCGAAAAGATTCTAAAAGGTTCTTTGGCTCTTTCTGAATCTAAGGAAAAAAGTCGTACTACGCAGCTTGTTGCTAAACAAACGCCGTTTCCGACCCTTTTCGTTAGCTAAGATCTCCATGAAGTCTGAA